GCCCCACCTGGAGGCTGGCCACCCTAATCCGAAACACAGGGAATTGAATGATTTCAAAAACTGTATTCTGACTGCATCGCCCAAGATTGGCTACAGAATCTTCTTTGACATGGTCCTAAGTATCCAGAAAGAAAGAAAACCATACACCATCTAGCACTGTGGAGTTCAGGCTATAGAAGGCTGGGAAGGGAGGGGGAGGCTCTCAATGGCCTTTGCATGGATAAGCAGCGCTTTTCCTGTATCATTAGAAAGCCTTTAATGGCCAAAGAATAGGAGCAAGAATATCATATAATGTCATTGCCCATTTCACCTAATATTTCTTCTGTTTCCATTTCATGGTGCCAAGCACATTTTTCTAGCCACTAAGTAGTATTAGGCCTGTCAAATTAGTCCAGGTTCCTGATGTTATTATGGCAAATAATCTGACGGAGTCAGATCTGTTCTTCTAGCAATCCCACCTTTCAGATCTGTAGCACCCTTGTCCCAGGTATAATATAACACGTAACCATTGACATACCCGAGGGACTGCATCTCCCTATATGTGCCCTGGAGAGCTTGTGCTCTGCCGATCAAGATCTGCAGTGGCCCAAGGGACATCTGCTTAGCCTCAATCAGGGCCAGGGCTTTTTCTGGTGGAACATGCTCCCGCCGGAGATCAGGGCCCTGTGGGACTTAACACTGTTCCACAGGGCCTGTAAAACGGAGCTGTTCTGCCAGGCCTTTGGTTGAGGTGGCAGGTGTCCAGTGAAAAAGCCAGCCTCTCCTGCTGAAGACCACCATCTCTATGTGGCCTAGATCAAGTAGACCTCAGAGACCCAGCAACACCAGTTGTGGAGATTGTGGGCACAAACAAAGAGTGCAATCTGTTTTAAATTATTGTTCTTAACTGTTTTAATGTGATTATTAATATATTTGTATTGTATTGATGCATTTATATATTAATGCCGAATGGCTCTATGTTCTGCCCTGAGCCCACTTGTAGGGAGGGCGGAATATAAATCCAATAAATAAACAAACAAATAAAAATAAAATAACATCTTCTCCTTTGCCCTGAACTCTTAGCTGGAGCAGGCTCTTGATGGGATAAATCCAATCAAGTTGAAGACTAGCAGACCAGAACTGCAGGAACTGGTGGACAACTTACAAGATTCCACTGGCTCCATTTGCACTGACGTTGCTGGATCAGTCCTGTACTTTCTTCAAGCTCTGGATGGTAAGGATGGTACCACCTTCAAGTGCAGTAACCACCGGGATGCAAGTATTTCACTAAAGGGTTCATTTAGCCTTGAGACAGCTGCAGGTTAACCTCCAAATGGCTTACACACCTGAGTTAAAACTGGTTGAAAATACACACCTGCTTCTTGCAAACACAGCCAGAAGTAACCCCACAAATGTTTGCATCAGTGTGGTATTTGTTCCAACTTTGTCAACACATGAGTGTGGCAGCATTGACTATAGCCCCTTTTAAGAACACCCAAATTCTACACTGGGGAGATTTTCTGGAGTGTTTTGAAGTAGCTCCAAAAACAACCCCAACGCTTCCTTGCAAAACTCTGATAACATTGGGCTGGATTCTGTGCTTTGTTCCAATTGCACAAGACTTTTATAGATTCACCTTCCACAGATTACCAATAACACTCCCCCCCCCCATTGTTCCTGAGTATTCTCTGATCCCCTGGAACAGAATTTCAGGGAGGACAGCAGGTTGCAGTAGGAAACTGGCAGTAGTTCCATTGCATCAGCCCTTCTTAAAATGCTATGCTTAGAATCCAACCCAGTGTATTACACTGATTCAATCATATTTTAAAACTGTAGTCTTTGTCGACATGCTTGTTAGCCAAAGGGGCCAAAATTCACAGTGTTTGGGCTGAGAAAGTGCAAGGGCAGACTAAGAGAAGTCCTTAAATTATTGGAGGGAAGGTATTGAGGATTGGGAGGTGATAAATACATGGATTTATCAATGAGCAAAGTTGGAACTGCAAGGCAATGTCTGTACTGACCATCCCCTGAGGGGAGAAAAACAGGAAAACCATATCCATTTCAGATTATGTCTAAACTCATGAAGTAATAATTATTTATAATTATTGTGTGGCAGTTGGTGTAGCATAGCCACAAGATCCGAAGATTGTCTGGCAGCCTGAAACTCTAGCTCTTTTTGTGGCGAGCGAGGTTTGGTTTTTGGGCTGAGAGGACTGTGACTGACCCAGCTGGCTTCAAGTGGAGGAATGGGAAACTGAACCCGGTTCTCCATATTAGAGTCTGCCGCTCTTAACCACTATACCAAACTGGCTGTCACTCATAGAGTGAAGCTGCTCAAGGAAATATCTTTACCAGATGTTCACAAAGACCTCATGGTTGAATTTCCATTTTGAGAGGCCCAAAGCTTAGTGAATTCAAACTATTCAGCTATTAGCTGTGAGTGGACACTGAATGGTGCTCTTTTTTTTTATGTCCCCATCAGCTGCAAACAAATTGTGGTTATTACTGCAGTTAATCAGGCTTCCCTGCTCTCTGCCTTTCCTAGAATGGTATGTGTTCCTCAAACAATTGTCTGCTTTTTTTACTTCCCCAGAATTGTCAGAATCTGAGTTGTTGCTTCTGGAAGAATCTGTGGAGAGGAAAATTGTGCCCAAGCAGACTGCACTGGTAAGGAAGAATTCCGAGATCAGACAAGCCCTGTACTCTTCAAAGAGCATGGTTTGATTTTTTTCAAAAAGCAATAGAATGTACAAGTGGAGACCTGCAAGAAACTTGCGGGATGGTTATTTTATTCCTTACACCTTTGCTTCCTCCTGTCTCCCTCTACCTCTCTCACGCTCTTTCTCCCTTCTGCCTCCCCCCCTTTCTTTCTTTCTCTCTCTCCTCCATGAATGATTTGGAGGGTGATGTCTATGGCATTATACTGGTCTGTAGTTCCTCCCCTCCTCAAATCCCACCCTCCCCAGGCTCTACCCCTCAAATGTCCAGGAATTTCCCAACCTGGAGTTGGCAACACAATTTCCTTCCCACCCAACAGCCAACCTACCTTTATCTGCCTCTCTGTCTTCAGCTTTCCGTCTCCACACCCCTCCCTCACAGCCTCTACCTAGGAAAATTACAGTCTTTCTTCACAGTGGGGACCAAAGCAGCTTACATTATTCTCTCCTCCTTTTTATGTGCGCAACAACCCTTTGAGGTTGGCTAGGCTGAAAGTATGTGACTTGTCCAAAATCACACAGTCAGCTTCCACCGCAAAATGGGGATCTGAACCTGGGTCTCGCAGACCCTAATCTGAAGCTGTAACTGTTACATCACAATGGCTTTCATAGGGTGGCTGCTGATGAATAGTAGGAAGCAGCTGGGTCTAATTGAGTCATGCAAGTCAGGTGGTATAAAGTCACCCAGAGGGTGCTGCCTAGGGATGCCAGCCTCCAGGTGGGACCTGAGGATGCCTGGAATTACTGCTCATCTCCAGACTACAGAGGTAACTTCCCATGGATAAAATGGATGCTTTGGAGGGTGGACTCTGTGGCATTGTACCTCACTGAGGTCCCTGTCCTCCTTTTTTTTTGGTGAAATGTCTTTTTATTTTAACCCAATATCTCACAGTCAACATTTCATCCTTGTACAAATATTTCCCCCCTTCCCCCCCCTTCCCCCTTCCCTCCCCCAGTCCTCCCTCCCCTTTCTTCTTCCTTCATTGCTTCAGCCACGGGCACAAAGTCCAAAGTTTCCATTGAGTATCCTTCTCGGCTTTATCCTCTCTGATCCATTCAAAGTATGGCGACCATTTTTCTTTTGTCTTCCTCTTCTTCTCTTCCCAGGTTTTCTCCTCCATCATCAGGGAAACGATATCTGATTGGATGTATTCAAAAAGATAGTTATTCCAATTCTCCATAGTCCACTTGTTCTTGTCTTTCCATCCTAATACTATAACTGCTTTCCCTGCTAATATCATTGCCTTGAATACCTCTCGATATTTAAGTTCTACTGTTTCGCTCTTCATAGTGCCTAATGTTATTAAATTGATATCTATTGGTATTGATACTCCTATTTTATCCTTTACCCTGTCCAATATTTTCTTCCAAAACTCCTGTACTTCGGCACATTCCCACCACATATGTGAGTACCAGCCTTTTACCTGGTTGCAATGCCAACAGTTCGAACTCACCCCGGGTATCATATTAGCTAATTGCGCTGGCGTCC